TGTGCGTCCACGGTGAGCAGTCACTTGATTCAAGTATGTGCTCATGGTCCAAGCAGTCACGGACATAAGACGAATTTAGTTTAGATGGAGTTGATCTGGATTGATTTGGGATGCTGAAAGTGGTTCAGTTTGGGGTTGATTATGGAACTTATTCGTTGAGTTTGACAAATTTTTGGAGGAATTTAATTGCGACATAAACATCGAGTAGAATTTAGGATACTGGCAAATACGTGTTTGGAGTGAACGATACGCTGCAAGCGCTCGATATGGGTGCTGTGGAAACGTTGATCTGCTGGGAGAATTTGGACATCACGCGTTATCGACTTAAAAATCCGGCGACAGGAGGTGAGCTACTGAAACTGATTTGTCGTATCTTTGAGTGAGTCGTCACTCACTCATTCTGTAATTGTTTCGGTGCGGTGTTTCAGTAAGATGCATTGCGAGAATATTGTTTGCTTATATTGTATTTGGTAGTATTTTTGTATGGTTTGAGCATGGTTCTTGACGAATGAAGCGGTCGATTCGTATTTGATTCATTTGATTTGTCGTTTTTAGAGGAGAAGTTACTGCATTTACGACCGGATCAAGAGAAGAACAAGAATCACTTCACTGATCCAGCGGTTGGTTTTGTTTTGTGAAATGAATACACATTTGTTAGTTACTTTGTTAATTTTTTGTTGTTGGGTGAAGGAAGGTGCTGAAAATCACATGAACAGCAGTTAGTAAAGCTGTGAGGAATTCGTGGAATTTAGATTTAATGAATTGATAGTTGGGACGGTGGCGAAGTTTTTTGTGATCGATTGAGCGATTATCCGTTCACCTCGGATCAGAAGTTCATTTGTTATCAGATGAATGTTGGATGCATTTTGCTTTGTGTTGTGTCATTGGACAGATTATGTTTCAACGAGAGCAAATAGGTGATGAAGTGATGGGTGAATGGTATTTTTGATGAGACAGATGATGGCTTCTTGAAAAAATGTGTTGTTTGAGATGAAATAGGCAAAATTTAGTTCATT